TCGCTGAGCGTGACGCTCTGCACTATTGTTTTCGTGGATGGGGTCTTGCTTCAGGATTGCAGTCAAGTGCTAAGTTTCTTGAAAGGTCCCGCGGAGTTGTGAGGTTGACATTAATGTTTAGCAAAGCAATTCCAAAACCACTGTTAAGCCCATTTATGGTGCCAGTTCTGTGCTGGGAGCTGGAGGTCCACGGAAAGGTCACTTCTCTGCCCTCACGGAACCGGCTGGCTACCCGGGGTCTGTAGAGACTCTGAGCCACGGGTGTCCAGTCCACTTTGCTGCAGCTCTGTCCCGACCCTCCTGTACCTGCTGCACCCCTTCCCCGTGGGCTCCTGTCCTGGCCCAGCTGCCCCCTCCCTGCAGGACCCCTTCTGACCCTGAGGCCCCACTCAGGCTGGGTGAATGGTGAGTGAGGGTGGGGAGCCCTTAATCTGCTCGCTACCTGTGGGCTCCTTGCCTTCTCTCGCTTGGGCTGGGCTATAGTTTTGCTACCCTGGCCCCTAGAGCTGCTGGGTGGCACCCCAGTCCTCACTCTCTGCCCCTTTTGGGCAGGCCGTGCCTTGTTTCCTGGGAGTGACGGGGACAAGTCTGTTTCCCTGTGCCTGAGGTGAGGCTTTACCCTGGCAGTGTCCCAGATGTCAGCTTTCCTCTGTTCAGCCAGGCCACTGTGCAGGCTCCGAGGGTGCTCTCCTGCCCTGCCTGGCACTCTGAGCAAGTGCCCAGTGCTGGACACCCTGCCTATGGCCCCCGTGGAGAGATGGTGGTAGAGGAGCCTGCTGGGTGGGGGCAGGGTGTGTGCAGAGCTGTGAGGGTCAGAGCTGGACTCCCCTCTTTCTTTATCCACAACCTACAGGTGTGGAAGTGGTCCCTGGAAGGACTGGGTGGCTTCCCCTAGTGCTCTTGAAGAGGCCACAGTGGTCTTAGTGGCCTCTGGTCTGGGCTTGGAGCCTGGCCCTCCTGCTGCCTGTCTCCTGGCCCGGGTCCCACGTGCCCACCTGGGGGAGGCTCACAGGCCGGGCACTTTGCTTCTGTATCTTTATTTGGGTATTTTGGTTTGTTTTTTGAGACAGGATCTCACTATGTAGCCCAGGCTGGCCTCAAATTCACAGCAGTCCTCCTGCCTCTGCCTCCCGAGTGCTGAGATCATAGGCATATGCTGCCATGCCCAGCTTCTCTGGTCTTTGTTGATGCTGAGTTCACTGTGCCCCTCCCATGCTGGTTCATGTGTTAGATGGAGCCCAGGAGTGAGGGTAAGGTCTGGGGTGGGGCACTGCAGACAGCACCCCATTGTCTGTCCCAGCAGTGTCCTTGCATGTCCTGGCCCGGTGGCCTGTCCTCTGCAGCTTAGGCTGCCCGGATCTTTGTCTTGGCAGCCTTGTAGGAGAGTTGTGTCCCCAGCCCGACAGCCAGCTGATGCCACTGGCATAGCTGTTGTGGCCACCAGGCAGGTTGTACCCTTGAACAGAGATGCACAGTTCTTCAGGTGGCTCCTGTTGTTGTCTTGCTTGTGGTTTGTGGACCACACGGCTCCATGCTTCAACCAGGAGTCTCTATCACTATCAGTTTTCAGGGCCCAGGCAGAGCACTGCCGGGTGTGGGCAGCTGTCAGGACTCCATGTACATCCCCCAGTGAGGGCCCAAGCTTCCTAGAGGATCTACCTGCAGTGCCCCAGCACCAGCTTGTACTTCTGCTGCGCTCTGGACACCTGGAACAAGCTGTACTTGGTGTAGGCGGCTTCACCTTGAAAATCCCCCAGATCAACCAGAGCTTTTGGCACCCTGGCCCTGTGAGTGGAAAAGAGGGAGGGCTGAACCCCAGGCTGGTGGAGGACAGGGTCCGGAAAGGTGACCTGTCCCTCCTGATGGGAAGCCGGGGCTGGCTCAGGTGTTGCAGCCTCTACTCCAGCTGTGAGCAGGTGAAGGTTATTATGGCCCAACCAGAACTCTGTGCCCTGGTTGCCAAAGCCTCTTTTGTGGGAGGCCCAGTCCTAGAAGTCCACGGAGCCTTTCACTTGTCACTGGAGAACCCATGGGCCAGCGGGATGGCCTGTGGCCATGTGCCTGGGGCCAGGGAGCAGGAACTCAAGGGGAGCAAGTCCACACCCTGCCCACTTTCTCCCATAGAGTGGGGAGAGCTCCGGAGGACAAAGCATCAGGGAGGTAGATGGTACCAGTTGGTCAGGACATTGGCCCTGACCAGCACCTCCTTGCAGCTCTACGCCCTGATAGCCCAAGCAGCTCAAGTGTGGTCCCTGTGGCCACAGCCCGCCCTCCAGTTGGCAGTCATGTGGGTGAGCTGGGGGTTGCTCACTGGACTGGCACAGCATGTCCCCAGGCAGGAGACAGGTGTGTGGCCTTCCCTGAGGGTGTTTTCAAGGTCCGCCAAGGCATAGCAGGAAGCAGCCTCCCTCACTTATGATGGGCAGCACCCACCTTGTCACATGGTAGGCTTGGCACCACCAGGAAGCACAGTTGTCCTGCTCTCAGACCCCGCCCCAGCCCAGGGGCATCCACCCATGGCCCTTAGTTGGCACTCTCGGGCCAATGATGGGCTGCACCTGCCACCCAAGGACACGTGTCCACCTGCTTCTCCTGAGCCCTCCCCACCAGCCTCCTGAGAACATAGCAGTCGCCCTGTGCTGGGCCCTTGGGGTTGGGCACTGTGAGACCCTGACTGGTTTTGCCATGCACTCTCCCAGACAGGCACACCTCCCTGCAGCCCCTCGCTGTCCCTTCAGCTCTGTGTAGGCCCTGCGTGGAGCTGGGGACTGAGGTCTACACAGCTCCCAGTGCACATGTGTGGGGCACAGGCAGTGCACACACACAGGCACACGCACATGCACACGCGCACAGTGGGGCAGCCAGTGCTCACAGTGTCTTTCCATCCTCGGGATTCTTTTCCTGACACCTTGGATTGCATGGAACTTCCCCGTGATGAAGTTTGATTTACAAATTAGCCAGGGTAGGAGATGAACAGCCAGTAACAACACAGAATAGCTGTAGCTGTACTGCCACTTTGTCGATTGCTCTTGGCCCCTTATTCAGTAAGGTTACCGGAACCCAGCTCTGCACTACCAGGGCAGCGGCCTATGAGTGGCTACTGGTCAACATGGACAGTGGACAAAGGGACAACTCAGCCCTGCGTGGGACAGGGTGGGATTTCACCATGCTCAGAACAGTGCAGAATTTAAAATGTATAAACTATTTATTTTCTAAAAATATAAACTTTAATATTATCAGTCAGACATTGACTTTGGGTAAATGAACTTCCAAAAGCAAAAGCACATAAGGAAATTCCCTCAGACCCAACTAGTCTCCTCCTAGGCAACTCCTGCAAAGAGCTAAAGACATTGTATTACAGCAGTCCATGCAGCCCACATAGCTCATAATAGCTAAATCTTGGAAGTGGCCCCTAAGTCCATGAAGAGAGGAACGGATAAAGAAAACGTGGTGTTTACACACAATGGAGCACTACTTTGCTATAAAGAAGGATAAACTTGAGTCATTTGTAGGAAAATAGTTGCAGTTTGAGACCACAATGTTAAGTGAAACAAATCGGACATACAATCTTGACTGTTACATAGTTTCTCTTCTATGAGAAACCCAAAGTATAAATGAAGACCAAAATAAAGGATGGAGAAAGTGGGAGCTAGATTGTCATGGCTGTATCTCCATGTCCCCCCAAAGCTTCATGTGGTCATAGGTGGGGCTTTTTCAGAAGTGGCTGGACCTTGAGTGTGCCTGATTCATGGTGCGGCATTAGGGCTCCAGAGCACTAGGATTAGGGGCACTAGGACTCCCTGCCCTAAGTAGTTCAGATAAAATAAAAGGAGCAGGAAGATGCTGTTAAGTTGCTTTGCTACCTTTGGTCTGCCATGAACTGTTCCCCGTCTGCCGTGTGCCACCCGACTATGGACTAAAACCTCCAGAAACTGAGCTAATTAAATCCTTTCCCCTTTTAACTTCGGGTGTTGAGTATTTTGTCTCAGCAACAAGAAAAGTAACTAAGACACAGAGCTTTTTTTTGGGGGGGGGTAACTGGGGATCAAACTTGGGACCTTGTGCTTGTGAGGCAGGGGGTGGAACCACTGAGCTCATCCCCGGTCCAAGACACAGATCTTTTGTGAATGGGAAGGGGACTAAGAGATGGAGGGGAGGCAAGGGAGGAGGGGACATAAAAACAATTGAGCTGTGTCTTGTCCATCACCAACTGCCCAGGAGGAATGTAGCCACAATGTACTCTGAAGTGTACTAATAACAATAAAAATAGAAGAAAGGCAGCACATGTGGATGCTTCAAAAGCTCGGAGACGGCCGGGTTCACCCCCTCTGTGTACAGCTGTGCTCGTGTGCACAAGCACAAGTGTCCGCGGAGCCCCACCGCCAAGGCAGACAGCAGCACATGGCTGCCAAGCTCCCTACACACTTCTGCTCCTCAGCCCCTGGCACCCAGGAGCTGGGCCCTGTCCCAGGCTTGGCCTGTTCTAGAAGTCAGGTAAAAGGAGTCACAGGGACCTCAGACTTCCCATACTGGCTTCTTCCCCTCAGCTGGATGCAGGGTGGGGCTGGGCCATGTTGCTGTGGGGACCAGGGGTCTGCTCCTTGTTCCTGAGCAGCTCAGCCTCACAAGGATGGCCATGGCTCGTCCCCTTCACCCGCAGGAGGAGGGCATTTGGTTGCTTGAAGGTTTTAGTGATTGTGACTCTCAATGTGGTGGTGCTCACTTGCAATCCTAGCACTCTGAGAGGCTGAGGCAGGAGGACTGCAAGTTCAAGCCCAATCTGGGAAAATTAGTGAGACTCCCTCTCTCTTCTCTCCTCTCTCCAAAAAACTCAGTGCAAAGAGCCTGTGTCCAGTCCTAGACACTGCCAACAAAATAAATAAAATGGAATCACCATCAACAGCTGCACGCACGGGATTGGCGTAATCCTGGCTTGGCTTCATTTCTTTCCATAAGGAGTAGGCGGCTTTGCGGATGAGCGGTCCTGAACCCGGCTCCGATTCCTCCTCCCCATAGCCAGAGTTCCAGCTGCTCCTCCGGCCCAGTTCCTGGGACCCAGTGTTTATTTTTAAAATGTTAGATTCCTCTGGCCCAGTTCCTGGGACCCAGTGTTTATTTTTAAAATGTTAGATGCTCTGCAGGGAGTGTGACTGGGTCTCAGAAGGCCCTCGGTTTGCTGCCCCTGTGACTAGTGATGCACTCTTTCCCCATGTGGAAGTCTTCTTTCCTGGCACTTGCCTTTGTGGATCTCTTGCTCTCCTGTGGGACTGGGCCAGCTCACGCCTTATGGCCCTGAGGGGCCTTCCAAGATGAACTCCATCAAGTGTTTTGTGTCGTCTTGCTGTCATTGCCTTCTATCCTGTGAATCAGCTCACATGGCAGGGTCCCTCGGGGATGGCACCTCAGAGGACCCCATGGGGACAGGAGCAGAAGCTTTCCTTCTGCCTCCCTGTTCTGGGAGCTGAGGGATCTTTCTCCGACCGGGTTCCCACCCTCTCCAGCTCCCTGCCAGTCCTCCGGGACACATCCAGAGGGTGTAGGTGGCCTGCCTCAAGGCCGGGGCCTGGGGTGCTCAGTGTGGACCCAGAGGTCACTGGGGAGCCCTTCCTGGCTCCAGCCCTACTGGCCCTGGCGCCTCTCTGGCGTCCTTTCCCCCTGTACAATTACGGAACTGGTGATAAGGCCGCTGTGATACCATAATCCGGCCCAGTGCTGCCAGCCCTCCCGTCCCAGGTGCATTTGTAGGAGGCCAGCTGGCAGCTAGGGAATGAGTGTCTGGAGGGGTGCCCAGGGCTCCCACAGCTGGGCAGGCAAGGCTCTGCCCCTAGACGGGGTTTGGAGGCCTGGCCCGTGGGGACCCATCCCTGAGTTGGGGGTCAGAGGGATGGAGTACTATGGGGTGCTCCAGACCCAGGTAGGGGCCTGCTGGCCAGAGCAGACCCAAGCCTGGCTATTTCCAGCAGCACCCCGAGACCCTGGACCCCCAGCCCCAGCTGGAGTGTGGACAGAGGTGTTGAGGCGTGAGTCCTGAAGGCAGATGGAAGCCTCTTTCGTGCTGGGTGGCCAGCTGGCCCCAGCATGAGGGACATGCCTGGCAGGTCTGGGAACTCCTCCGCTGGCATGTCAGGTGAGAGCCTGGCTGTCTGGAGCCCTCCAGGAAGTGACCCTTGGGACCAGAGGGGACACTGGAGTGATTGTGCCGCACAATGGACAAAGCCGGGGTGGTGTTTCTGAAGCACCTTCCCAAGGCTCCCAATTGGCTCCTCCTGCGAGCCCTGGCTGGGCTGGGCTATAAAGCTGGGGTCCTGCGCTTGGGGACTCGGGATGCTAGTGCTGGGCAGGCATGGGTATGAGGCCAGCGCAGCTGAGCCTGCTGCTGCTCTGGGTGTCTGCAGCTGGGGCGGAGGTCCTGGTACAGCCTGACTTTGATTGCAAAAAGGTACTGAGCCCCTGAGCTGCCCCAGTGGGTGCAGGCTGAGCTCCTGTGGGAAACCAAATGCGTGAGGACAGGAATGTGCAGTCCAGCAGCCTCTTTGTGCTCTGCCTGGAAATGTTGTGAACCTGATGTCCCTCTGGTCTGGAATTGGCCTGGGCAATGGGGACTCCTGTCCACCCTGTCTAAGACCTCACCTGTGACTGTGGGTACCTCCCTACTTCTCTGGCCCTTGGCTTGTCCCTGGCTCTGGCAGTCCAACTGTCCAGTCTGGTGGTTAAGGAGCTGTCCCCGCAGTTCTCCGGCCTCTGGTATGTGGTCTTCATGGTGTCTGACTGCAAGGTCTTCCTGGAAAATAAGGACCACCTGCTGATGTCCACTAGAGATGTCAATGCCACCACGAAGGGCGACCTGAATGTGCACATTGAGCTCCCCTGGTGAGCAACAGGGCCTGGGGGGCAGGGGAGGAGCCTGCTCAGGGGGCAGTGACGGGTTTTGCACCCCAGGGAGAATGGCTGCAATCAGATGGACGTCCAGTATCTGAAGGTGGGCTCTGAGGGGCATTTCAGGGTCCCAGGTAGGTCCTCCGCGCTGGGAGGTGGGCGGGGGGAGCGGTGGGGCTGGCATGGGGGTCGGGGACCCTGCCTGCGACCCCACGGGCCCCACCCGCAACCCCCACGCGATCGCCTCCACAGCCCTGGGCTATCTGGACGTGCGCGTGGCAGACTCTGACTACAGCTCCTTCGCTGTGGTCTACATCTACAAGGAGCTGCAGGGGGCGCTCAGCACCATGGTGCAACTCTTCAGTGAGCTCTGCCCCTCCCACCACAGCCCCGCCCCTTCTGCCCGTCCAGGCGCCGCCCACCATGCCACGCCCGCCCGTCTTCCGCTCTTGGCCCGGGCCTGGCAGGGACCAGGGTGCAGGTCCCACTGCGTCCAGAACGGGGAACGCTGTCTGGAGCGGCCCCCTCTGCGCTTGTTCTTCTCGGGCGGGGTGTGGACCCGTGGGGACCCTCCCTTCCTTGCCTCATGCCCTCAGCTGAGGTGCTATCTACCTGGCCTTCCGGGGTCCTCACGGTAGGGAAGACCCGGCGAGGGCGGGTAGTGGGGACAGCAGGAAGGATGCCCGATGACAGGGCCCGGGAAAGCGAACGCTGCGAGGAGCCAGCCCGGCTGCCCGGCCTCCTCCAGCCAAGGGTGCTCAGGAGCGGCCGCTGCCGTCCCCATTGCAGAGCCTGCCCAGCTCGGCTGCCAGGTTGTCTGCCCCGGGGCGCGGGGGGGCCCTGCTTCCATCCCACCTGACCCGTGTAGTGACCCCGGGATCTGCGGGGTTCACTGTGGCCCCTCTCTGCCCCAGGCCGCACCCAGGGCGCGACCCTTCGGGCGCTGAGTGCGTTCCAGGACTTCTACCCGACTGTGGATCTCTTTAAAGACTTCCAAATTGAATGCTTGAATGAACATCTATAGAAATCACTTTCAGTTGGTTCTTTATTCATCATCAACAACAAATGACATTTTACATTCTGAAATGAATAAATCCTGCCCTTCAGGGTCTCTGCCGTTGGGAAGGGGGCACGTCCCGGTCAGCCCTCTCAGAGACATCTCCTCCCGCAGATGCGTGTTTCCCGGGGCAGAGGGGCACCCAGGCGCCCCCAGGGTCCAGCCCTAGGCCTACCCAGGTTGAGGACTCGGTGAGTTCTCCAAGTTTTTCCTGGCTGCCCTGGCTCCTTGCTCCTCCTTTTTCCTTCTGAGAGCCGCTGTGTGGATCCCACCCCCAGGAGAGTCCCTGGCCTTGGGCCTCACCTTAGACACCACCTGTCCTGGGAAGCCTGCTCTGATTCCCAGAGATAGAGACCCCCATATGGGGTGGCCTAAAAAAACAGACCCACGTTCTCTCAGTCTAGGAGCCTGCAGGGTTGACCTTGGGAGGTGCTGTGAACCCATGTGGTCCCTGCCTGTCACCTGGCCTCTGCCACTTGTGGTCTGCACCCCAGGTCCCCTCTTCTCATAAGGTTGGATTTAGGTCCACCCTAAGTCCGGGGTGATCCTGTCTCGAGACCTGTAACCAAGGACACCTACAAAGACCCCATTTCCAGATGAGGTCCTGTTCAGAGGTTCTGGGGGTATGAAGTTTGGGGGATGCTCTTCAGCCCACGGTGTCCCAGGCTCCCTCCCCAGGGCCTCACAGGGCCCACCTCATTCCCTGCCTACCTCAGGGCTGGGTCTTGGGAGCCTTGGGGGCCCCAATGCTGGCAAAGCTTGGGGATCAGACCCCAGAAAACCATGGAGTCCTTCGCCCAAGCCCATTGCCAAGAATGTGGTCACCCACATAAACTGAGTCATATGTGGCCCGTCACAGTGACCAGCAGCCTGGCCAGGCCTGGCCTGACAGGGCTGTTCAGGGCTTCACTGCGGGTGGGTGTCCCTTCAGATCTGTGGCCTTTGTCCTTAACGTGGGGATTTCTGAGGTCTGCTTTGCTCCGGCCTCCTCTCTTGGGCTGTTTACCTTGGTGCCAGGGACACTGGGTTAGAACAAGTGTTGGAGCAGTTACGTCTCCTGCCATCGTGAGGTGGCTTTGGGAATATTTGGAGGGGCGGGGGTCAGTGTCACACAGCCCTGAGGCGGGTGTACTTGTCACTTTGGCCCCTTCATGAAAAGTGACAGGGCCCTGTGACGACCCCACCCAACCAGCAGCAGTGTGGGTGTCCACGTCTGCAGAAGGCCGAGTGCAGAATGGCTCTCCTTGGCCTTGGGGGCAGTTCTGGCTTGTGGGGAGCAGCAAGGTGGACGCAGTGGCTGTGCCTCTTCTGTGCAGGGTGGCTCTGGAGCAGCAAACCTCACCAACTGAGGAGCCCGGTGAAACCTGCCGCCCCCAGGAACCACCTTGGGCCGCTCCTCATCCTCCTGCCTCCCCCATCCCAACTAATAAACAGATTCTGCAGCCGCACAGCTTCTCACCTCTTTGGGGACAGCCTTGGGGAGGGTGCAGTGGCCCCCAGCCCTTTTGGGGAGACTGAAGCAGGGGGCATGGGAAGGGGACGTGGGAACCCTGACCGCAGGAGCTCCGCTAGGTATATGTGGGCAGGAGACTGTCAGTGCACTGTGTGCGGGTTTTGCCTCCGCCACTGCTGGGATCTGGGCACGTGATTTAAGTCTACAGGAACTACAGGAAAGGGATTGAGCCCAACGCACGCCCTGGCCTCGCCCTTCTGGCCAGCCGTGTGTTCCGTGGCCGAGCCCTGGATGCACACCGCCATCCCATCCTTACTCCTCAGCTTGGGAATCAGAGGCACCGAAAGGCTGAGCAGGTTGCTTGAGGTCCACAGCCAGTTCGAGCCCAGGGCTCAGGCTCTGGAGTGGGGATTTATGCTGTCCCAGGACCTGAGATGTGGATGAAGGCAGGTCCTCCTAAGGTGGCCACCACTGTGGTCCTTACCCTGAAGCTGTGCCCCAGTTCTCTGGATGGTTCCAGCACCCATGCTTCAAAGGGCCAGGTGTGGGGGAGCAGGAAGCTGCTGGGGGATCTGGTCTGCTGCTCCTCAGCGCCTGTGCCCTCCCAGGTGGGAGCAGAAGCCATCAGATGCCGTGGCACACAGATGGCCTGCTGCCCACATACCACTTCCAGACCCCCTGCCAGACCCTGTCTGTCCCTGCAGCACCCTGCAGCCAGGCTCACTGTCCCACTACCTCTTCCCAGAGCTTTGGGTGATCCCCTCTTTTCCCCAGAGCGACAGCTAGCTTTCACCTGGCCTGGCCTGGCTTGCCTCCCCACCCCACAGCCGTTGAGTTGGCCCTCGAGCTGACTGGGCCGAGGTGGGAAGGCTGCACCCCCAGGACTGGGTCCTGCACCCCTCTGCGATGGGAGGCCAGTGAGCTGGAGCTCTGGACCCAAGATGACCATGCCTTCCATGACACAAGCCCCAGAGCCTGTCCCTCCCGGCCACTGGGAGGAGGGGTCCACGACCACACTTGGCCTCGCTTTCCCTATCATTTAGAGGGAACAGGAATAGGAGGGTGGCAGGAGAATTTTCTTTATTTTTTTAGTTTATTTCCATAGGGCTTTTAAAAAGTGACACAGAGAAAGATGTTTTTGAAAATAAAAATAGTTTGCCTTGAAAAGAAAAACCTGTGGGCCTGGGATTTAGCTCAGTGGTTCCACTGCTTGCTTTGCAAGCGCAAAGTCCTGAGTTTGATCCCTGGCACCAAAAAAAAGAAAGAAAGAAAGAAAGAAAAACTCATGGCCTGATCGTAGTAAAAGTGATCTTGCTGGACATAGTGCGGGGTGGAGGTGGACCTGGGATTGCAGGGCCTCAAGGAGGGTAATCCAGGCAGGACCTGTCACCATCCTGAAATTCATCGCCGTTACAGGTGGGGAAACTGAAGGTAGAGCAGCTCACCTGGGTCACATTGCAGGCGGCAGGGCTGGGACTGGTGCCTGGAACCCTGACTTCCTTCTTGGGGGGTCTGTCATGCCTCCCCAGTAAGGGACAGAGTGGGACCAGGGCACGGGCTCTCCTGCATTTCCATCTTTGCTGATCCCTGAATCACGCAGCTGGTCCTGGGGTCAGAAAATAGCACAGTGTTGTTTCTCGGGAGCCTCCTGGGAGGAGGGGAGAATCGAGGCCAGGCCAGAGGGCTGTGGTCCGGTGCTCGCTGTCTGTAGGAGGCTGCAGGTCGAGGCTGAGCCCGGCCCTGACAGTGGCCCTTGATGGACAGGAGAGCCATGGCCTGCATCATCTGCAGCAGGAGAAGCCATCTCCCATCCCCAGGCCTGATGGCCGCATGGAAGTGTTCACCTGTGCTCTCACGCTGTGGCCTCTACTGACTTCCGGGCCGTGGGTGTCACCGCCAGGTGGCCCTTGTTCAGAAACACTGGGCGTTTCAGGGTGCCAGGGAGCCTCTCCGGGTGGCTGCACATGCCAGTGCACTCTCCATTATAAACCCAGGTGGGCCCTGTGGGCACAGAGAGAGGAGCCACAATGTTGGGCAGGCTGCTGAGCACTGTCCTGGGCATCCTTGTGGTGCTGCCTGTCGGGTGGGCTCTGGAGGACCTCGACCAGCAGAAGGTGCTGTTTCTTCTTGGCTGGGACTCAGCTGGCTTGGGGGTTCCTGGCCACTCCAAGTGTCCTTCCCTCCAACCCCTGGCAGCAGTGACCTCCAGGAACTCCCAGGTCCCTGGGTCCCTGCCTGTGCCAAGCAGGTGGCAGTGTACTCAGGCAGGCCCCTCCGTGGGGGTTTCTCAGGGCTGGGATCCCGCAGGGTCCCCTTGTTCCCTGGATGAGTGGGTCCCCGAGATGCTTCCCGTCAGCAGTTCCTCCTTCCCTGCCAGGTGCTCTTTGGCAGCTCTGAGGGGACAGAGCTGGGGGAGCAGATTCCAAGATTTCTGGCCAAGCCCTGGACTCAGGTAGAGATACTGATGTTGGGTGGGGGCTGGCCTGGAGAGGTCACAGAGCAGGGCTATCAGGCCAGGCTCTGGCTGTGACACCCTAGCCTCTTGCCCTGGCGGTTTTCACACTGTTCTCTGTAGGGTCCTCCTCCATGCCTTGCCAGAAAGCAGCAGAGTTTGGCTTCCTGGGCATAGGATGGGGAGGGTCACTGCTGCCTGATGGTCTGAAGGGCCTTAGAAGGGTGACACTGGTGGGAGAAGTAGCTCAGTAGCTTCTGGGACTTCTCTTTTTTTCTTTTTTTTTTTTTTGGTTTTGGTTTTTTGAGACAGGGTCTCACTATGTAGTTGAGACTGACCTGGAACTCACTGTGTAGCCCAGGCTGGTCTCGAACTCCCAGCAAACCTCCTGCCTCAGCCTCCGGAGTGCTGGGATTACAGGCATGCGCCACCAGGCCTGGCAACTTCCGGGACTTCTTGCTTCCTTGTTGCTAAGACTTGAGTCCACCTGCTGGCCTCTCAGAGCCCACCAGCCCCCTGCCCAGGGGTCCCTGAGCTGCCCCTGGGCCCCAGAGACAAAGTCTCAGCTGAGCGTTTCAAGCTTCAGATAGCTCCAGCTCTTGCTTCTAGATTGAGGGATTCTGGCGGGAAGTCGGTGTGGCCTCGGACCAGAACCTGGCGCTGAAGACCCCGAAGAGGATAGAGGGGGTGTTCCTCACCATGAGTGGGAGCAACCTGACCGTGAAGGTTGTGTTTAACAAGTGAGAGGCCTGGGCCCTGCGGTGAGATCGGCACCAGGCAGGCTAGCCATGCCCCCATGCCCACATGACACCCAGGCACCCAGATCTGCATTTTCATCCAAATACAAGCCTGGGTTAGATGAGGCCCTGAAATGTGTAGGAGAGGAAAGAGGCCCTGCTCCAGAAGCCCGAGGAAGCTGGTCTCCCTGGGGGAGGTGGGAACCGGGCCCAGCAGGTGGGGTGCAGGCTGGCAGGTTCCTAATGAGCACGGTGTGCCTTTCAGCTCAGGGAGCTGTGAACAGAAACAACAGTGGGCTCAGCGGGGGGCACTGCAGGCAGATTTGCTTTTCCTGGTAAGTGCACCTCCCTGTGGCTGCAGCCCTGTTCCTGCCCCCTGCTCTGTGCCCTGGCTCCTCAGCCCCCACCCCAGCATAGTCCTTCAAGGCTGCGCTCAGGCCTGGCACAGGGAGAGGGTGGCATCACGCCCCAAGTCCAGCCTTGGTCACTCCCTACCTGGGTGCCGGGTGGCACATGTCCCAACCCCACTGCCGGCTCCCAAGGCCACAGGGAGATGCACGTGCTGGATACGGACTACAAGCGCTACGCCATCCTGCGAGTGTCCCTGCTGTGGCGGGGCAAGGACGTCCATGTGCTCAAGTACTTCAGTAAGCTCTGCAGGGTGGGGGGCTGTGCTCTGTGCCGCCCCTGCACCCGCCCAGCAGCTCCCTGTGCCCGTAGCTCGGAGTCTGAAGGATGAGGATGAGCCAGGCTTCTGGAAGTTCCGGGAGATGACAGCGGACAAGGGCCTTTACCTGGTGGCCCGGCATGGTAAGTTCAGGCTCTCGGGGAGCATGCTGGGCCGGTGTGATGTCCTCCTGCCTGCCCCCTCACTGCCCTGTCCACAGGGAGGTGTGCGGAGCTCTTGAAGGAGGTAAGCTGTGTCCTCTGCCTGCTGCCCTTGCCCCACACAGCCCCGATGGTCCCTGAGGCTCCAGATCCTGCCCTGGGTGGGAGGACCGTCTCTGTCCCCTGATGTCCCTATGTGGGGCTTCCAGTGGCTCTGCGCTGCAGGTTCTGCTGGGCTTGGGGCTTGGGGCTGTGCTCACTATGCTGAGCCATTGCCAGCACGACCTTGCTTTGTCTCAGCCCAGCCCCAGAGGTTGGCACTGTTACCACTCTGCAGGGGCTGGGTGCTTCTCCAAAGCCAGGCAGCGAGGCCCCCAAGCCCCAGCTGTGGCCCTAACCCTGTCCCTGGGTCCCGAGGTCACTCAGGGCCCTGAGTACCACCCTTCTGCGTGCAGCGGCTGATTTAGAGCGGCTACTGCCTGAGTCCCGAGCTGCATCTGCCCACCTGCCCCTCCTGTCCCACCAGAGGGCCACCTGCACCTGCCCTAATAAAGCTGGCTGCCCCATCTGTGCCCGAGTCCTTCCTGGGGGCAGGGCCGAGGGTGGCAGGTGGGGTGGCGGGGGAACCTCTCTGACCCAGATGGAGACAGTGGCCTGGGCTCCTGTCCCCAGGTGCCCCCAGCCCTGCTCCTTTCAGGGCTGTGACCCCATATTACCCTCAGTCTCTGCCCAGGGGAGGGGGGCATCTCGAAGGGGACAGGAATGGAGGCACCTGGCTGGGTGGAGCTGAAGTCCAACATGGCCAGTGTCCTCTGTGCCGTGCTCTCATCCCCAGGGCCCCAGAGCACCTCATCCCTGCCAGACAGGTGGGCAAGTGAAGCCAGGGGGACGCTCGCCTGAGGGACAGGATGAGGGCCATTCCTGGGCCCCCACGCTGTGTCTGGGATGGCCCAGTGTGACAAGTGGCAGGCACAAGCTGGCTGCAGAGGTGACAGGGCCTGGCAGGTGGATGCGGGTCCTTTGTCAAAGGGCACAGCATGGATTCTCGTTCTCCCTCTGCCCTCTGGGCATGCATCACCGGGATGGCCCCTCAGCTGGGGTCAGCTTCCATGCCCCCCCATGCCCAGCCCCACGCTCCTCTGGTGCCTTTGAAGGCTGCACACAAAATGCAGTTCTCAGATCGACTTGCTGAGACAAGACAACGCACAATTCGAGGCTGCTGGGGTGGGCGTGGAAGCTGGGTTCAGCAGGTCCGGGCAGCCAAGTGCTGGGTCCCAGGTCAGCTAGGGAGCCCTGGCCTGGGTCGAACCAGCCATGGGCTAACTGGGGCTCTGGCTGATGAGCCCAGCCCCCACCCCCGCTGGCCTCAGTCACTGCCCACCTCCCCTGGCTGCCAGGGCAGTTTTCTCTGTGGCCATCTCTCTGTCTCTCCTGTCTTGCTCTTTCCCTCTTCTCCATCTCTCTCGGTCTCTGTCTCTTCCTGTCTCTCTGTCTCTCCCACCTCTCTCTTTACCACTCTCCCGGTCAGGGTCCGGCCTGTCACCGGGGGCTGGGGTCATGAGTGCTACCCCTTTGCTGCATGGACCGGGCAGGAGTCCTGCGCCTCGGAGCCAGTGCTCCACCCTGGCTGAAGGTGGCCGTCCCTGCTCCTGTGGTGAGGAGTGAGATCCCAGGAGAGGGCAGGCACCAGCCCTGCCTCCAGCTGCCCGAGAGGCTTCCTCAGAGCACCGGGCAGGACACGCGGGCTCAGTTCTGGCGTCTGGCCCACTCCTCACAACTCCGACACAAAGAGCTAAGCAGCCATGCGTGGGGCCCCGGAGCCCTGGCGCCTGGGCTGCCTGTGAGGTTGGCCAGTGTGTGCCCAGTAGCCCCCAGGTACTCTGTGTCCACGTCCTGGGCCTGGGGGGTCTTACTTGGGTCACATTCCCCCGGCTCAGCGAGTGGGGGTTTACTGGGTGAGTCCGGTACATGGGTGGGCGAGCTGCCCGCTGGTCCACCCTGTGCTGCCAGCTGCCCTGGGAGAGCCAGCCTGTGCCTCTGAGAACCCACGACGGGGTGAGGTGTAAAGTCAGAGCCTGTGGCTGTGGCTGTGGTCTGTGCAGCCTGCCTCTGACTCACGGGGATCAGTGCACTCCTGGCCCTGCTGGGGCTGTGCCTGGGGCTGGCGGACGCCTCAGAGGAGGCTGCAGTGACAAAGGACTTTGACTTCTCCAAGGTGGCCGTGGGTCCTGGGCACTGCCCTGTGGGGTTGGCCCTGCCTGGGTTCCCTCTTGTCCCTGGCATGTTCCATGCTGCGGCTGCAGCAGCCCTGGCAGGGGGTTTGGCTGGGGACCCCGACCCTGGAGGCTGGGGCACCCGGGCGGCTCCCTTCCTGCCTTATGCCCAGTTTGCAGGCCTGTGGTATGAGGTCTCCTTTGCCGCCAAGGCAGGCGCCCGCAGAGAGACCCCCAGGTGGAGAAGATGCAAGGTGTGGTGCTCCAGCTGGAGAGTGGGTCCCTGGTCCTGACTGCCGCCTATTAGTGAGTTGGGGCCAGGCCAGGTGGCAGGAAGTGGGGTGGCTGGTGCAGTCTGCTGTCCCGGGCCCTTCATCCCGAGTCTGCACCTCAGTGAGTGGGGCGGTGGCTGAAAACCTCCCAGGGAGGCCCCTGGCACAGGACTCAGCCCAGCCCCTGGGAGCCCCTCCTCACCTGGGGTCCTGCCTGGCTGTGCTGTGTGTGCGGCATCGGCAAAGCCTTCCGTCAGGTGTCTGCCCGCTGCGGGCTCTCTGGGGGCAGAGCCTTGGCTTGGTGACCAAAGGCGTCCGCTCAGCAGTGTCTCCTGCTCTTCCAGCAAGGGCCGCTGTGTGGTGGAGAAGACCACAGCCACCAAGAGCATCGTTCCAGGGACATTCACCATCAGAGAGGGTGGAAAGGGTGCTGTGTCTGGGCCCCATTGGTGCCTGTTGACATGGCGTGTGTGTGTGTGTGTGTGTGTGTGTAACTGCTGTGAGTGTGCACTTAGAACCCCATGGTGTTTGGTATTTGTCTCGACCTCCAGGGAGCAAAGAGGTCCAGGTGCTGAGTGCTGACTACCACACCTACGCCATCCTGGACATCCTCTCCACGGCGGAGGGTGTCAGCCATCACGTCATGAAGCTTTACAGTGAGCCCAGGCTGAGCTGGTCTGGGGGTGCCAAGCCCGCTGTGGGGCCCAGTGCTGTGCGGGAGAGGGCAGAGCCTTGAGGATATGTGGGTGGCCCCCTGTGGCGGTCCCCATGGCCCAGCCCAGACTCTCACCCACAGGCCGGAGCCTGGACCACAACCAGAACGCCCTGCAGAAGTTCCATGAGGCAGCCCAGGAGCGTGGGTTCCAGGAGCCAGACTTCCACCTGCTCACGCACGACAGTGAGTGGCTGTCAGCCCAGGGTCGGGACCTCTGGGGCCTGGAAGAGCCTCGGGCTTTGTTTTTGTCTCCAGTCCCCTCTGCGCCAGCTGCTCTTTGGCCACAGCAGCGGGGCTGGGGTCCCTGCTGGGTGTAATGCTCTCCTGCCAGCCTCTCACGCTGCCCTCTCTGCAAGGAGGTGCACTGAGCTTCTGAAGGAGGTGACCCTGCGTCCCCACCTGCAGCCCCTGGTCCAAGCAGCCCTGACAATCCCTGAGGCCTTGGGCCTGGCCCTGGGTGGGAGGACTGTCCCTCCCTGTCCCCTGATCAGGACGCCCAACAGCAACTCCAGAGAGGCATCTCTTTCATGCTTTGGAAAGAGCTGGAGCCTGCAGGCTGGTGACCCAGGCTGTCAGGTGGGCCCTGGAGAATGTGGGCACTGAGCTGGGTGGGAGAAGCAAGTAGGGGAGGCCTAATGCTTCTGGGCCCCAAGGCCATGCAGAGCCCTGAGCACCGCCCTTTGATTTAGAGCAGCTCCTGCCCAGGCCCTGAGCAGAGCTGCCTGCCTTGCCTCTCCTGGCCTCCCTGAGGGGCCACCTGCACCTGCCCCTGCCCTCAGTAAAACCTGCTGCTAACTTGCTGCCCAAGTGTCCTTCCTGGGGCGGGTGAGGGAGGCAGGTAAACATCAGGGAGCCCTGTCTGCCCCAGGTAGAGACAGCAGTGTTGATTGTGACAGATCCGTGGAGGACACACTCACCTGTCCCCAACACTTCCACCCAGCCCCACTCCTGCGGTCTGTGGGTCCTCAGCATTGTCCTCGCTCTGAGAAGCCCCAGGCTAGGCCTCATGTGAACAGAGCTGAGAACCAGGTTCCTGTGTAGTCTCCAGGGCCTTGCAAATGAATGGGGACCACCTGATCTCTGGGTCAGTGTTGCCTAGAGCGCAAACCCCACAGCCGTGTGTCCCGGGCCCTCCTGGAGGTGGCTGACTTTCCTGTCCTCCATCTGGTCCCTTGTCACCTAGCCCTGATCCTTCTGCCTAGCCAGTCACAGAGTCTGGGTCTCCTTCACACTCTCTCATCCCATACCTTGGTGCTGTCACTCTTTGATTGCCTGGTTTTTGTCTACCAGTCAGAGTGGTGCTGAGGCTAGAGGTCAGCAAGGCAGGGTGTGCCGTGGGGTGCTCTCAGTGCAGGCCTCTGGGATCAGGCTTATTTAAGATGCTGGGATCAAACTAGGGCCTTGTGCACTACCCCTGAGCTACACCCCTAGTCCCTTAAAATATTTTTAGACAATGAAAGTAGAGAGAGCATTGGTCCCTAGCATGTCTTTTTTTGCAATTGGAGAACACTGGGCTCCTCTTCGGGCCACGGAGAAGGAAGTAGGCAGGAACTCACGTTTCCAGGAATCAGATCTATGCTCTAGGAGTGGTGGCTGATTGGTTCTGAAAGATCACGTCTCCCTCCCCTCTGTCCAGCTGTTCATTCCTATTAGCCTGGACTTAGGAATTCTCAGTTCCTTCTGCGGGTTTCGCCCTACTCTTGTTATTTTGACACTCAGATCCATCCAACTGTCTCAATTTCAAGATGGCACATATGGATTTTTTTTTTTTTTTTTTTTTTTTT